TGATCTCAGGTCCTTATCTCTGGCCTCCTTCTGGGGAACCCAAACCAAGATAGCACCAGAAAGGGTATTCAGATGTCAGGATGGGATTCTAGAGTTGGATCCCGCCCCAGCCAGTGAGCAACAAAGAGCTCACACTGAAGGAAGCACAATGGTGGTCATCGCTGAGCTGAAGCATCACAGTCGTCGGAGGCCTCATCTGTGGTGAATTAGGACGAAATAAGATAAATTCAAGAGATATTGGACCAAAGATAGTTCTCAGGACCACAGAGTAGGTTAGTTGTTACGGGCTGCTGTTGGCCCACTGAAGAAAATTCTAGGCTTAGATCACCAGGGACTAATAAGGAAGCCTCTATAGCAGCATTTCAAGAGATGCGTTTTGTAAAATTATAAAGGAAACGTGAACAAAAGACCATATTACTACGAAATGATTTTAGCTTTCTTCAGACCACCTGAGTCAGGCAGACACATCAGCGATCCATCATACAATGGAACTGGTACATTTTAGAATAGGTGGGGCAGGTCAGAGAATGTCACACAAAGAGGCAACACAGACACCTCATTCACCTTCCTCTGTTGTCTCGCTACTTCTCCTTCAGCTCCAACCTGTGGCCTCGCAGGGGCTTTCCTTCAACCCAACCAACTCTTTTCAAATGCAGAAAGGCAAAAAACAAAAAACAAAAATCAAAAAACCCTCAAGTCTGCTTCAAAACTAGGTCAGCTCTATCTGTTGCCCTCTTTTTTTTAATTTTTCTTTTTCAGAGCAGGGGAGGTAATTAGCTTTACTTATTTATTTATTTTTAATGGAGGCACTGGGGATTGAACCCAGGCCCTCCTGCATGCTAGGCATGCACTCTACCACTTGAGCTATACGCTGCCCCAGGTTAGTTCTATATGTTAACTGTTAGTCTGTTTGTAGATTGATGCCATGCAACAGCCCTACTTAGGGGTGACTGTGAAAAAAAGTGACAAAGAAAAGTACTCCCAGTCAGTGGTCCGTAAGTAACACAGCTGGTCATCAGCATGGTGGGACGGGAGCAGCAGCCTGAGTGAGTCCACACGCAGACCACGGGGCAGTGAGCTTGACTGGACTGGTTGATCAGGGAACAAGATCAGAAGACTGAAGACAAACAACCTAAATGTCCATCAACAGGTGACTGGATAAAGAAGATGTGGTATATTTATACAATGGAATATTACTCAGCCATAAAAACCAACAACATAATGCCATTTGCAGCAACATGGATGATCCTAGAGAATGTCATTCTAAGTGAAGTAAGCCAGAAAGAGAAAGAAAAATACCATATGAGATCACTCATATGTGGAATCTAAAAAACAAAACAAACAAAAACAAAGCATAAATACAGGACAGAAATAGACTCATGGACAGAGAATACAGACTTGTGGTTACC